GAAGGCATGCTCAAATAGACCGTGTCTCCCACTTCTGTTTGGTCAGGGGGCTAATGGAAACAGGAAGAATGCCTGTGGCTGTTTGACTGAAAGTCAGAGGGTGTTTAATTAATTATTTATAAAAGTATTTCTAATAGAAATTGGCACTATTACAAACTGTCATTATTGTAAGACAATCCTCACCCATTAAGCACTTCAGCAAGTTAAAGTGCTTTACGGGTGTAGCGTGGTCTTTAAAACTAATGTGACATTGCCTCCCATTACTTCTTTCAACCCTCCCACGTCTTATCTTACTGGACCTTACTGGACCTTGGTGGGAACTGCACTCTGGTTATGCAGTCACACTGGCTTCATTGTTTCTGCACTGGCAAAGCTCGACACTCCTGTCCTGTCATCTTGTGCTCTGGTGATTTTCACAACTACATCACATTGCACTATATATTTACTATGACATCAAGTCAAGCCTTTTGGAGGGTTTTCCTGTTACTTGTGTGGTTTCCTATGGTAGTCAGGGCTATGCAGTTGGTATAGAAAGGAATATTGAGAATTCATTGACAGGAGGGCCATGTATTATGTTAAATTTTAAAATTCTGGATTTTTCTAATGTTATTGTCATAAAGTCTTATTAAAGACAGGAGGTGAGTACTGTGTTTTTATTTTATTTACTACTTCCACAGCTTTTTCAAATTCACTTAAACTTGACAAAATAGTTTTAAAATACATTGAAAAACGTGTGGTTCAAACAGAATTTAATGTCAACCAATCACATTCAACCATAGTAGGGCTTCCGTGTCAATAAATTAACACAGACGTGAGAGTGCTTGAATCTTCACTGGAACTGTTCCCATCTTAAGGTCTGTATAATCGAGAAGATTTTTTGTTCAATACTCGAAACATGACTTTAAACTGTAAAAGCAGAATCAAAATCAATAAAAAAAAATAAATGCGGTAGGAGCAATAAAATGGTGGGATATCACTTGTCTTCTGTCTTTAATACAATGGTGACTTTGCATCACTATCATCAGAAAAATGCTGAATTTTATTCAAAACAGGAGGCTCACATGATGCTCGTTTAAAGCTTAATCTACTAAAATAAAAGGATTTAAAAGTCAATTCGGATGACCAATCTTCTTCTTTAAGAATAGCACACAAGTTTCCTCCTGAATGAAAAACCTTTGTGACCATAGCTGTTCTAGATGAATGAATTCCAAATTTGGAAACATCAACATCAGCCATTGTCCTGACATTTCTTACCCATCTTGCTAAGGTAGCAGAAGAAACCGGTAAAAAAAGGTTTCTGAAACGATATCAACAACAGAGAACAAAGATCACTTCTAAGATTCTTAGTTTTATCGTCAAACATTTTTAATCAATGTGCTAAACGTAATTTTGGATTTCCCAAAAAAGTTAGATAACAAAAATTGTTTAGCATAGTATTTGGTCTTACCACATGAAATACTATCTCATCAGGAAAATAGTATTTCATGGGATGAGATTCCTATTATTATTTTTATGATAAATTATCATTATTGTCAAATGATAGTAAATATTGTAAAACCATATTCACATCCCAAGTATTAGGGTATTTTGGTTGCGGAGGTCTCTTCATATGAATGCCTTTAATTTATTTAAAGATTAATGGGTGTTTTCCTGTTTGTACATTATCAACACTGATGTGTTTAGCCAAGATGGCTGAACGCTAAACATTAATTGTTCTATAAGCTTTACCTAAATCATAGCAATCGGCCAAAAAATGTATCATCGTTGGAATACCCAAAAGGATGCACACCAAAGTTAGTCTTTGCAAAAGAATCAATACTTTATTAATGAAAGGGGTTTGAGTAAGTGTTGTTGTTTTATTCACGTTGTGCATTAACCCCTTAAGGACACATGATGGAAATATTCCGTCATGATTCCATGTTATTCCAGAAGTTGTGTCCTTTTTGATTTTGTCATTCTTTGTATTTTTATATTGCATTTGAAATTACTTAAAGGACCACTATAGGCATCCAGACCACTTCAGCTTAATGAAGTGGTCTGGGTGCCAGGTCCCTCTAGGATTAACCTTTTCTGCTGTAAACATAGCAGTTTCAGAGAAACTGCTATGTTTACAAATGGGTTAATCCAGCCTCTAGTGGCTGTCTCATTGACAGCCACTAGAGGCGCTTCCGCGCTTCTCACTGTGATTTTCACAGTGAGAAGACACCAGCGTCCATAGGAAAGCACTGAGAATGCTTTCCTATGAGACTGGCAGAATGTGCGCGTGGCTCGTGCTGTGCATGCGCATTCAGCCGATGACGGGAAAGGAGGAGCGTCCCCAGTGCTGAGGGAGCCAGGCGCTGGAGAAAAGGTAAGGGATTAACCCCTTCCTCCCCCTAGAGCCCGGCGGGAGGTGGACCCAGAGGGTGAGGGGGACCCAAGGACCCTATAGAGCCAGGAAAACAAGTATGTTTTCCTGGCACTATAGTGGTCCTTTAATAAAGTATTGATATTTATATATATATTTTTTTTGCAATGATTTGCTTTGGTATGCATCATTATTTGATTGTTTAGGCATTTAGGGATGACTCTTTAGCATGTCACCTCTTTACTGTTTATATATGAACAACCTTTACCATATCTAATTGTAAGTCATCATTGGAATACCAGCATGTGAGGGATCCAAATGGTTTTATCAAAACAATCATTGCCTTTTGTGATTTGATGTGATTAAAAACTCTTTGCATCACAGCATATGTGGAAAAAGCATAGTTCTGGCCTCTGTAATCTTCTTTAGCTTTCAACTGACCCTAGCTCAGTTCACCATTTAGTAGATAAGTCACTTAGTTTTGTTTACACAGATTTCAACAAACGTTTGAGCTAATCTGCTAATTGTCTTCTACAGACAAACTATTAAAGTTGAGGTGACATTTTAAGGAGGATAATAGTTTCTTATCACTTTTAAAACACCTGGAAGGAAGACAAGGTGGTAGAAGCACTCGGATTTGTCTCTACTGTATCCAGACACGATTATTAAATATTTACATATTTTTTTTAATATTTCAGAGTTTGTCCTCAGAGATGAAATTTAATTCCTCACACTTGTTATACATTTGCAAACGCTTTGTCATAATGAATGTTAATACTTCGAACCGAAGCAGGCAGCGTGTAAATATGTATAACTCGGCGAGAATAAGAAAAAAACAAGAGATGTTTTTGTAATTGTTTGCTTACAGGGATGTGACAATTGCTGTTTTCATATTTGTATCTATTTACCTGTTCTGATTGTGAATCAGCTAACCATCCATCTCCTTCACTTCTTCTCATTACCGAGCTTCGTTACATGAACTTTTAATGTAAGTTATTAATTAGATTCTTAAAGGTCTCATGCTGAACAATGTTTTTACAAACCGTGCCTTGGGGAGCACATTGTGTTAAAACAAAAGCTGGCTTTACCCTGCAACATAAAATGGAAACTGTAGCTTTGAAAATAATATTTTGGGGAGGACTTTAATTTTCCCTGCCATTATAGTGACCCCTCTCCCCACCCCTTTTCTTATAAAAATCTTACTCTAATAACTACTTACCGAGACACCATCCAAGACACCGTCCAAATGTCACGGCTATGTAAGGAAACCGACCCTAATCCACTAAGAAAGGTATGCCATGTATTACCAGACCTTAACATGGCTGGATTTCATGTATAGAAAAGTCAGACAGAAAGCCACTGTCAAGATTAGGCGAAAACAGGACAATCGATAAACAGGACAAAAGGTCAGGAACACAGAGAGCAGGGAAACGGTTAAACAAGCCAAGGTCAATAACAAATAAGTCAATACAATTTACACATATTCTTGGGTAAACGAGAGCTACCTTAGCGCAACTTGCTCATCAAGCTCTGACTTCAGATAGCCAGAATACTTACACTATTGGTTGGTGTCATTTTAAAACGCCTAAAGACCCACTTTCGGTTGAATGGCGAATTCAGGACTTTCCAGTGTTTGCTCATGCCGTGACTGACTAAAAAACATACGCGCATGAGCAGCATGCGGCATTTGTTCCGTCGATCAGGGAAAAGGAGCGTTGGAACAGGTAAGTATTACACCAAGACACCGCCCAAGAAACTATCCTTGCAGTCAACCTCTTTTGTCGCCATCAAGCATGATAACATCTTGCTGACTTTTCATCAAATGCTCCAATTTGATCACACCAATTCTTCTCTATGAGTAACATTAGTGGACGTTCAATGTCCTCAAACAATGTGTGAGTTTGTCTCAGTTGTGTGTGTGTGGAAGGACCATCTACCGGCTATCAGGAAGACAGTGGTTAGAAGTGTGTTTCGCTCTGCAAGTGTCATATTCACACATGTTCCTTACAGATCAAGCAGGAAAATTATATTTCAAATTGTAGAGATTTTTATTGGCATAAATGATATTAAATGATATTAAAAATCATTTTTAAATTAGATAGTCGGAACCAGAACCTGACTTTGAACAATATAAAGAAAAAAAGGGATTCATAAATATATTTTCTTCGTCTTATTAGAGACGTTTCCACTAAACTGGAAGCGGCAAAGTGAATTGTTAGAGCAGGACTATCCTGAGAGATTTTCCTTGACTTTGGCAGCTGAGCTTACACCTTACCATCCATTGCAGTGATAATAAATTGTTTAAAAATATACATTGAAATTTGAGATAGATAACTTTTTTGTTTTGTTTTTAGCATGAACAAAATAAAACATGTAATATATAAACAAATAAAATATATATTTTGAATCTGTATTCTTGCTTAAACTGGTATTAGTTGGGATTTATATAATTAATGGATATAATTATTAATATATTTATATAGTGCCAACAAATTCTGTAGCGCTTTACAATGGGTGGACTAACAAACATAATATAAATATATATATTTTTTATAGTAACTTTTTTAGTTTCTGATGACTTAAATGTAGGCAGACAATGTAATAGAGCAGCAGGAAATGCTAGCAGAATGCTTGGTTGTATAGGGAGAGGTATTAGCAGTAGAAAGAGGGAAGTGCTCATGCCATTATACAGAACACTGGTGAGACCTCACTTGGAGTATTGTACGCAGTACTGGAGACTGTATCTTCAGAAGGATATTGATACCTTAGAGAGGGTTCAGAGAAGGGCTACTAAACTGGTTCATGGATTGCGGGATAAAACTTACCAGGCAAGGTTAAAGGATCTTAACATGTATAGCTTGGAGGAAAGACGAGACGGGGGATATGATAGAAACATTTAAATATATAAAGGGAATCAACACAGTAAAAGAGGAGACTATATTTAAAAGAAGAAAAACTACCACAACAAGAGGACATAGTCTTACATTAGAGAGACAAAGGTTTAAAAATAATATCAGGAAGTATTACTTTACTGAGAGGGTAGTGGATGCATGGAATAGCCTTCCAGCTGAAGTGGTAGAGGTTAACACAGTAAAGGAGTTTAAGCATGCGTGGGATAGGCATAAGGCTATCCTAACTATAAGATAAGTCTAGGACTAATGAAAGTATTTAGAAAATTGGGCAGACTAGATGGGCCGAATGGTTCTTATCTGCCGTCACATTCTATATTTCTATGTTTCTATGTTTCTATTACCCTACATTGAAAGATTATAACCTTGAATATTCTGTTTTTGCAAGTATGCATCTAGTTGCTGTTTAAACATCCGTATGGACTCTGATAAACCCACTTCTTCAGGCAGAGAATTCCACTTCCTTATTTTTCTTACAGTAAAAAAAAAACCTTTCCTTTGTCTTGGACAAAATCTTCTTTCTTCCAGTCTAAACGCATGACCTTGTGTCCTATGTAAAGTCCGGTTTGTGAAAAGTGTCCCTCTTTGTCTATTTGAAATGCTGGGGGGTATACTACTTTACTAATATGGAATGCACTGTCTTATCTTTTGCTCTGTTGCATTTTCCTTGTGGAATCTGGCCCTGTGTCTGCCTTCAAATGGAGACTAGAATCTAAAAACCCTACTATGTCATGACAATCTATGAACTAGCTGTACAATCGTTGTTCACAGCCATATTATTTTAAAGTGGCACTGTCACCATCTGGGGACTTTGCAAAGACCCCTGATGGTGACATTGTCTGGTGGCCAGGAGGCAAGTAAAGGTGAGCTCTACTTACTTGAACCTATTCCTCGCGGGTGCGACCATCTTTCTTCGGCAGGCCCTCTTTAGCTCCTGGCGATTCAACCAGCCTCTGATGATGGCTAGGGGATTGACACTTCTAGACGGCAGTAGCTCATTGTCTAGTGCCCAGTGTCTAGAAGTGTCAGGAGGAGGAAATATATAGAGGCAAAGTAGTCCCTACTTTGTCTCAATACATCTCTAGACTGGGTTGGAATTTCAGTGAAATTCCATCACAGTTAAAATGAGTATTTCATAAAGAGTCTATCATTTTTCGGGGGAAGGGAAGTGGAGGGGGGGGGATGACAGTGCTGCGTTAAATCATCTTTTATCCTTGGTAAAGGTGGAGAGAAGCCTTCAGTTTTTGGAAACTAATTCAATTGTACCTGTTTTTTTTAATGCTATACAGTACTTGGCCTTTAAAGCTGCCTACAGACATCTGCTAGTCCTTCTGAGCCCCCACAAGAGGCTGCTAACTGACTTCAACAAATACGGGGAAGACATATGGATATTTTAAATATGAAGAGAAAAAAAAGAATCCAGTATGCTGTTTACAGAAGTGAAATGACAGGTAGGTATATCTGGCAGCAGACAAATTCTGTTCTGTAAACTTTAGAGACATTCTGCAGAATTACTCACATTCTTAGAAACACCCACAGTTGCTTCGAGCTATTGGGATTCCCATATTAACTCATTCATTCAGCTGCCAGTTGATTTTATCTCCTTAATTGGGATTTTAATTCAATCGAATTTATCACTTGCTGAGTTTTGCGCTTTAGATTTTTCCTGACGTTAGAGGGTGTACAAGCAATATAATTATATTAAATGTTAATTAAAATTTACCTGCCCCAAAATCTGATGGTTTGGCAGACACATTCTAAATATGGATGTTTAGCACTCCCCCTGGTGAAAGATCATGGCAGAAATGCTACTGGTTTACAGATTGGGAATCTGCAAACCCTTTTATTTTTACTTTCACTGTACACTGTGTGGCTGCCTGAGTGTTTTGCATATGAGGATTGGCTGCGTGTGAGTGTGGAGTAATTAGCCCTGCTTGGGGTCACTTCCCTAAGCATGGCCATCCTCTACGCTAACGCTAACTTTATGGTATCACTGCCAGCCATGAGTGTCTACAGGAATTTTTCCAAGGGGGGGGGTCATAATTCTAATGACATCCATGCTCAGACCCTTTTTGACAGTGTCATGAAGGGAAGGGCCATAGTCATTATCTATTACCCCCCCCTTTAATATATTTTATCCTCCACGTTTACCCTTTGTGTCTGACACCCCCCCACGCCGAATTTTCTCCTTTGTGTGTCTCTTATTTCCCTGCAGCACCATTTGTGTGCCATTGCCTTCTTCCCTAGTTTCTCTGTCTAACATTGTCTTATTTCACAGCCCCTATGTGTGTCTCTTGATCCCCTGTGTCATTCTTCCCTTCTCCACCTCCTCTGTGTGTCATTGTCCTCTTCCCCAGCCCATTTCTGTTTTTGCCTCCTAGTCCTTTTGTGTTTCTGTTTTTTTCCTTCTCCAGCCACTCTGCATGTCTCTTTGCTCACAACACCCCGTGTGTCTCATTCACCCCTTCCCCAGCCCCTCTCTGTGTCTCTTGATCCCCTTCCACAGCCCCTTTGTTTGTCTCTTTCTGACCCCCAGCCCCTCCATGTGTCTCATTCCCCTCCAAGCCCCTATGTGTGTCCTAATGCCCTCCGGCCCCTCTATATGTCTTCCTCCCTTTCCTCCTGTGCCTGCTGATCTCCAAGTAGTGTGACAAACCACGGTAGAGGCTACATGCATTGACTGGCAGGAAGGGGAACACTCTCCTGTCTGCACCTCTCCTGCCAGTCATCTGGACATTGCGCCAGGGGCAGATCCAGAACCCAACCTTGGGAGGTGCACTGAATGTTAAAAACTGGTGTGTGTGTATTCTACATATTGAGTTACTAAAAATTTAAGCAAATTGAAACTTGAATTGAAAATTTAAGGCAAAGCTTGATTTGAAAATAATGTTTCATCTATTTTTTCCCTAATTTTGAAATTCTGTTTTCAATTTACTATAAATCGGAGTTTAGTGAAGACTAGTGATGTCGCGAACCCGAAATCCAGAGCCCTGATACACACTGACACAGAGCAGAATAGTGACTGTTCCCCCTACATAGGGTCACTTGGCAGATATGGATTGACACCTGTCCTCAAAGCCCCTGATACACACTGACACAGAGCAGAATAGAGACTGTTCCCCCTACATAGGGTCACTTGGCAGATATGGATTGACACCTCTCCTCAGAGACCATGATACACACTGACACAGAGCAGAATAGAGACTGTTCCCCCTACATAGGGTCACTTGGCAGATATGGATTGACACTGTCCACAAGGACTAGCTGCAGGCTTCCTGGCAGGGCCCATACAAGGTGGTAGAGCAGGTTTGTGCGGTCATTGGCACGGGAGGCAAGCGCATGCTCCATGTGAACATTCTCAAGCCATACCACGAGCGCACGGAAGAGGTAACCGCGATCTGTGCACCTGCCACTGAAGATTATGATAATTTGCCACTCCCAGATCTCCTAGACCAAGAGGGCCAGAGCGGAGACCTGGGAGAAGTACAGTCAGGAGAACGGTTAGACCCCCAGGAGCGAACCCAGGTCCAAAGACTAATCCAGGACAAGGGGGCCACGTTTTCCAACCTACCTGGGTACAGTCCGTTAACCACTCACAAAGTTGAAACCCTAGACCAGACCCCCCTTCGCCAAACCGCCTATCGCACACCCGAAGCAGTTAAAGAAACTATTCGGAAAGAAATTGAGGAAATGATGCAGTTAGGTGTGATAGAACACTCTGACAGCCCCTGGGCCTCCCCAGTAGTACTAGTACCGAAACGGGACGGCACAACCCGTTTCTGTGTAGACTACCGGAGGCTAAACGATAAAACAACCTCAGACGCCTACCCTATGCCCCGGATAGACGAGCTCCTAGACAAAATGGCCAGAGGCCAGTACCTCACCACAATAGATCTGTGCAAGGGGTACTGGCAAATTCCATTAGCCGAGGACGCCATCCACAAGTCGGCATTTGTCACCTCGTTTGGCCTATATCAGTTTAAGGTCATGCCATTAGGGATGAAAAATGCCCCGGCTAACTTTCAGAGGATGGTAGATCGGCTACTGGATGGGTTTCAGGAGTATGCCTGCGCCTACTTGGATGATATAGCCATTTTTAGCTGCTCCTGGCCCGAACACCTGACCCACATAGGAGCAGTACTAGACCGGATTAGGGAGGCCGGACTGACCCTAAGGCCCAGTAAGTGCCACATAGGAACGCGTAAAAACCTCCCCAAGATAGTAGTATGGGCCCCAGAGTGTGAACAGGCCTTCCAACAGCTCAAGACGGCGCTCATTAAATCACCTGTACTTTCTGCTCCTGATCCAACTAAGCGCTTTCTCGTCCATACAGACGCTTCTATGTTTGGATTGGGAGCAGTACTGAGCCAAGTCGGAGCAGATGGCGGCGAGCAACCCGGGGCTTATCTAAGCTGGAAACTTTTGCCCAGGGAAGTAGATACACTGCCATTGAAAAGGAGTGCCTGGCGGTGGTGTGGGCCCTCAAAAAGCTGCAACCTTACTTGTATGGACAACCTTACTCACAGATCACAACAAATTTGGGGCACTGCGTGTGCAATCTAATGTGCCACCAGATAGGAGTGGTGTGTTAAGTAGTACTATTCTTATCAGTTTAATCCCTGTTACATCCCCTATCAGGGGATGTGTATATGGCATCGATTTTAGGAACCGGGAGATGGAAAAAGATGCTTGGTCGGTCCTCCTTCTTCAAATTTGGGACACTGCGCGTGCAATCTAATATGCCACCAGATAGGAGTGGTGTGTTAAGTAGTACTATTCTTATCAGTTTAATCCCTGTTACGTCCCCTATCCGTTGATGTGGAGCAAGACACAGCAGCAGAAGAGGACTCAGCCGAGGAGGTTATGGAAGAGGATGGAGTAGGAGGAGTAGAGGAGGTGGCAGCAGGCCTGCCTGCAAGTCGTGGCGGTGTCACCAACTCCTCTGCAGAGCCACGCATTCCATGCTTGGC